TCCCTACCCGTGAGGTATACAGGACTTACAGCAGTACGCCTGCATACCTCCTAGCCTCCCCCCGGGGCTAGTCGGCACCCTCTAGTAGACATATCTTGCGGATGTCGAGTCGAAGAAAGCCAGATTTCATGCGCACGGTCACAGTACGGACTAATCCGTCCCTAACCACTTCGTAGCTCTCTACAATCCCCATTGGCCATTTTCCACGTCCTAGACAATCTGTCGATACGAGCACCACGTCTCCCTTTTGAAAGTTCTGACAATTGTTAAGCCACTTTGACGAGTTTGTAATATCGGCAAGTACTCTTTCAACCATCGGCTCCAAAACACATTTATCTGCCTATACCTCCTCGAATATCGGTCCTGAATGTTTTCTCCAGTAGACAGACCTTCACAATCTCGCAGCAGTATTAAGCTGTTGGGTGTCAGCGCTATGTTTTCGCTTTCATTAGAGACTATCGGCACGATAGGACGACTGTTCAGGATTCTCTCGACTTCGATGAAATATGTATTCAATGTTTCATCCGTCAGTCTTTGTTCAGTAGTCACAGCCATAAGTAATCGTCGGACGGAGCGTATAATTTCCTCCCACACGCCACCTCGATGACTACGGGACGGAGGGTTGAAATGCCATTGAATCCCATGGCGCAACAAACGATCATTTATCTTTCTATTTTCCCATTGTTTCATTCGTCCTCTCAGCTTTCACACCGCACCCACGAAGTTAGTTCCATTGTCACTATATACCTCTACCGGTGTTCCTCGGCGCCCCACAAACCTCATTAGGGCCATTATGAATGAGTCTGTATCTAGAGTAGCTGCTATTTCCAGGTGAACTGCACGTGTCTGTAGACAAGTGAACAAACAGCCAGTTCCCTATCGTCTACTGTTTGACGCTCCTTGGTCATCGTACAGTTGCGGTGAATAATTATATCGCGCGAATGAAAGGAAACCGGGAGAAAAATAGTGGAAATCAGAGTGGATTTGACTCATCAAGTAGACGTTACGTGCTCACCAATGAGGCCAACCGGTGTTGACGGCCTGCCGATAAGTCTTCTTACGAATCCTAGAGTGCGCTCGACCTCCTATTATCTCGTTGCCCGAGGTAGACAAAAGCACTCGTGGGAGTCATAGACGTTTATTGGCGTATCATGGTTCTAGATAGTACCGAATACGTGCGGAGGTGACGCTAAACAATGCAAGCAATAGGTAGCAAAGCGAAAGCGTGTCACACGTGTTGCGTGGGTTTGAACAGGACCCAGCTTATATCACTAGATAGTACCGAAACGTGCCAAGGTGACGCTAAACAAAGCAAGCAACAAACGCAGTAACAAAGCGAGTGTTGCGTGGGTTTGAACAGGACCCAGCTTATATATACACCTGAGCGGAAAACCGTGCTTCTTAAAACAAGCGGAAGTAAAACAAAGGAATATAAAAATTGGACTCAGAGTTGATTGTGAAGAAAATATGAACGGAAAACTTTCTCGTTGATTGCTCCTTTTCTTCGTATAATCGTAGTCACTATAGGCCGTCACATGTCACTGTAACATACAACCTGAACAGCTGCCCCCAGCCTTATTGGCAGCCTTGATTCACTGAGTTGAGGGTTTAAAATCTTGTTCATAAGAACCCTTAGATCCTTCATCTGAGGGACCTGATGCGTGGGAGCTCCATTCAACGAGTATACCCCAGCTCTCGTTGATGAGAGCTTTCTACAGCAGCTAGTAGATGAACGTTTGTTGAATCCAAGGTGGGGATTTAAGGGATGGCTGTGACAGTTAACTGATGATGAACGCGTAATGCACCAGCAACATTCACAGAACACGTCGCGACAAGAATTTGCATTGTGTTGTGCGNTTAAAACAACAAACATAGAGTAGATACGAAAGTGAGACACTAGGAGTGCTCAAAAATAATCAAACTTGCACCAAACGGGAACCGTAATAAGATTGAAGATTATGATTAGGATGGTTGATGATATTTAAGCTGTGGCTGAAAATTGTGCCTCAGTCGGGTACCGATTTGAACTCTACGTACGCGGGTTTCGGTTTCGAGGTGCAATTCGTTTTTGGCCACCAGCGATCGCTATGTCCGGCACAAAACAACAGCTCCTAATTATTGAACCAAAAAATGAGTTGTATTTTGAAGGTGGGGAATTTTAATGTCCAGTGCTCTGTTATTGTTGTTTTCTGATAGGTCCTTTCAACAACATTGTTACCTCGATGATAAACTTGTCCAACCCACTGGATACTCCAGTGTGCTTCAAGGTGAAAACAACCGTACCCAAAAGGTATTGTGTAAGACCTAGCAGTGGGATTGTGAAACCTATGGAGACCCGCTCGGTTGCTGGTATCTAGTTTTCGGTCATTTTTACCCTCCCAGTTATGCTTCAACCGTTTAGTTATGATCCAAGTGAAAAGACGAAACATAAGTTTATGATTCAAAGCATGATTCTCCCTGAGGATTGTGACAATTTTGACGCTGTCGTAAGTCTGTATATCTCATCTGTAATCAGCCGCTTGTAGTGGAAGAATGCGGATCCTGCCAAAATCATGGACTCGAAACTTATTTGTATTTTAAGAATGGCTGGAGAGCTTGTCGTTCTACCAAGTCATGAATTATTGTTTGAAGGTAATTTCTCGGTTAACAGATCACTAGCTTGGTATCAGGACCGTTTACCCAGCCAGTTCAGTCTATCATCACACTGAAGAATCCCTCAACCGTAAACATCTGCTTTAAGCTCCAGGCATCTTCTACGCGCTTCTCTGCGTCACCAACCACTGGAGTTATTGAACCAGATGGAAAGACACGAGTCACTGGTAATTTGTTTTTAATACTCATGGTGTAGTTGTGGTTCAACCGTTCGAGTACAATCCTGAAGATAAGCCTCGAGAACGACTACTACTGAAGTCAGCTGTTACGGAGAGCCTTGATGAGGGTTCTTACACTGAGCTGGTAATTTTTTTTTTACAGTCATAACAGTTGCAGTTGGATGGTCCAAACACTACAGATACTTTGTTAAAATGTGTATTCACAATACCCGGCACGGTAAGATCTTTTCATTCACATGCGCATGTTTATAGGACGAAAAAATCAAACCAAAACATGGGCATTCCTTGTCTTCTACGCCTCCCGAAGCGGCTGCTCCCACAACTAAGAATGTGGATTCCCTCCTGGCTGAAATTGATGCCCTACGAAGAGAGAATGCCGTTCTCAAAGTAAGCGGAAGTGAAGTGGTGACATTATACATGTAAACTTATTCATTAATGTATGTCCTAGCAATCCATGATTTTTCATGATGTACGAAAAACTGGTTACATTTCCTAATGTTTATCAAAAACTGCTTATGATACCACCCAGGGCTTGTTATTAATACCGATTGTTCAGGAAACAAATGACCGCACTCATTTAACTCGATTTGCCCAAACCGGAATGCCAATTTATTGATTCCATGGTTGCTGATATTCGTTAGAACCTGTCACT